ATTAAAAATAATAATATATACTCTATATAAAATAATAAAAATATAATTAATACTATGCTCTAACGTCGAGAGGGCTTAGATAAACCCATTTCAAATTAAATCAAATATTCTTGGTTAAGTGCAATTTTGTCCCTTAACTTTGGGCTTTGTCGTAGTTTTAGTCCTTCAACATTTTATACACATATTTAATTCCTTAATTATAAAAAATATATTTTTTAATTTTTTTAGTTAATTCGTTAAATATATATTTTTAATTTTTAAAATTTTAAATTGAGAGATAAAAATTATATAAAATTTTTAAGTTAATAGATTAAAAAAATATAAATAAATTTAATAAATTAAATGATAAAAAAATTAAAATAATATACTTTTATAAATAAAGGATAAAAATTTATATAAAAAATTTAAAAGATTAAAACTATATAAAACTTTAAAATGGGCCATTTAACCAATATTTTTTGCACGTGGCAGAGATGTGGGTTGAATTACCGGTAAGGACTATACAGAGGGGCTGCTACCTACAGGGCCATGATGTTACTGGTAATGTACCATATGCAACACGTGGACATAACAAGTATCACAATTATTGAAATAAGAAATCCCCTTAATAATTTTCAACCTAAAAAAAAGCAAAAAGAAATCCCCTCAATAATTGAGGAGCCCTATGATCGCACTAGTCTTGCAGACTAGTAGAAAAAATGTACGGTTTCTACACAAAAAGAAAAGAAAAAATGTACGGTAGTTTCTCTTTACTGAGGGAGTTAAAGTCAATTGTAGTCTTCGTACTTTGTAAATATGTTCATTACCATCCCTCTACTAAGGAAATATTCAATGTCATCTCTTTACTTTCTTACACCATAAAATGTCATCTCTCTGCTATACTTCTTTTCTTAGATGTCATCCTCAATTGGATGCCATCCATTTTACGGTTAGCTTTGATCATTAATTAATTACCTAACGGTCAAATATTTAATTTTTATTTATTAATTTTTTAAACAAAGAGTTAACATATTTTGTTAATTTAGGAGTTGAAACTTAAGAAGAATAATATAGAACTAAAAAAAAAAAAGGAATTGGTCCCACTAGTTCCACCAAGTGGATAAAAAATTAAAAACAAATGATGATTATAATTTGTGTCTTTAGGATACAAGTAAGAGTATTAAAAAATATTTAATTTATCAATTATCTAATTAAATTTATCTACGTGACAATGACACTAAAATTAATATTTAATTTTATATTTCTTATACAAATTTATTGCAAAAAAGTATCATTAATATATACTCCTAGAAAAATCCATAAATAAAAGTTGAATGTTTGACCATTGGGTAATTAACTATCAAAGTTAACGGCAAAATGGATGACATCCAATTAAGAATACCATTGAACAAAAAAAGTGTGGTAGCAGGATGACATTAATGGTGTAAGAAACGTAGAGGGATGACATTGAATACTTCCTTAGTAGAGGGACGATAATGAACATTTTTACAAAATATGAGGATTATAGTTGGCTTTAACCCTTACTGATGGCGATGGTTTTGTAATTTAGGATACACTAAA